GGCATGTTTGTTAGAAATTTTAATTTTTTTTATTTTGAGATGAAATTATTTATGGAATATTTTGTAAAAAGAGTATATTTTGTTTTTGCATATGGGGAGTGAGCAAGGCCCTTTCGATAAGGATTTATTTTGTCTTGCTTTAGACAGTTATGGAGTTTTGTAATCTATCTTTTATGAAATGCACAATTTCATAACTTAGCTAAAAAAAAATATGTGTTTTAGATTTTTGAGTTCATTGATTTATTCATAGAACTCCAAAGTTAAGGAGTTGAAATTGATTAAACTGGTTTTAAGTATTATGAGACTAATTTTTAGGCATTACATGACTTAATCACTACGTGACTGATTTCAATGCATTACGTGACTGGTTTTAGACATTATGTGACTGATTTTTAGGCATTGCATGACTGATTTTTAAGTAATACCTAAGTCACACAATGCCTTACTAACTAGTCATGCGATGCCTTACCAACAGGTTACGCAATGCCTATCAACTAGTTACGTAATGCCATTTTAACCAGTCATGCAATACTTAAAAACTAGTCACGAAATACTTAAAAATTAGTCATGCGATACTTAAATACTAGTCATAAAATGCCCAAAGTCAGTCACACAACGTCCAAAGTCAGTCATGCAATGCTTAAAAACTAGTCACGTAATGCCTAAAAACCATAAAAACTATAAAATTTCATTTAATAAGATCAACAACTTCAAACGATACACCATATTTCATTTAACGACATAATCAACGAATATACCTACTTGATAAAGACTGCTCAAAATGTTTCAAGGTTTTTCTTCATATATCAAAAATCACTCCAAAATGCTTAAAAATGCTCAAAGGTTTTCTTCGTGTATCAAAAACTACTCCAAAATGCTTAAACGTTTTTCTTTCTGGTAAGAAATACTTTAGAGATAAATAGTTTGGCAAGGAAAGCTCAAAGAATATGCGTCAGTTTGAAACATAGACCTAAACATACTTGACCCATTAATAGGTTTTGAGTTGAGATACGGAGCTAAATAAATGGGTTAGTTTTATTAAGGATAATTTTGTTCAAATTTTAATTCTCTTGGCTAAAAACAATTAAAATTATGAAAAGGTATAAAGTTAAAAATGTTTTATGCATGGAGCTCATTTAAAAAAAGAACCCTATTATCAAATGGCACTATTTACATGTCCATTAAATACAAGATCTGTCAATATCAATTTCAATTTACTTAAAAAATTACCTGTCTTGCAATGCGTGTAGCACGGGTTACACTCTAGTAATAATGAAATTTGCCCTAGTTTGTGCTTCACTCACAAAATCTTACCGCGTGGCTTGGTGGATCCGACACATTTTTTTTTATACAACAAATGACATAGTTTTGATTTTCATATAAAATCTTAACCTAAACTTAACAGGCAACCCTTTTCTCTTTTTTTCATTTTTGTTCTTCTCTTTTTTGCCCACTAACCCTAACAACCAACCCCTTTTCTCAATCTTCTTTCCCTTCATTTTCGATGCAATCACATTCATCGACATAGGCTTTTCCGATAGAAACTCCATCTTTCTTTCCCTTTCCTCTTTTCTTCTCTTTTCTCTTTTCTTCTCTTCTCCCTTCCTTCTGCCGCTAATTTTCTCTTTTTCTTAAAAATCCTAGCCATCGTTCTTCCTCTAGGGTGCAAGATCTCCTTCACTTTTAAAACTATATAAATACCTCAAAATCTATCCTTTTCGTATCACCCACATCTCTCTTTAAAAAATATTTTTCTCTCTAATAATCCATTCAATTATGTAATTTTAATTCAATAATTCTCATTTAATATTAGTTATGTTTGTATTCTTTATGCATTCATGTTTCTTTCTTCTGTAATAAGTGATCTAAAAAATGAATAATCTTTGCTAAATTGAATTTGGAATTGATTTATTTGGTATTTAATGTGTTATGTTTAATTTTGGTGTTTTTATTTTTCCAGGAGGGTTTAGATTTAGTTTTAATGGGTGGTGATGATTGGTGATTTTGAAGGGAGCTTCACATTATTGGATTGTGTGTTATTGGGAGCTAAAGACTTTGACTTTGGTTTTTGATTTTTTTTTCTGTGGTTTTTACTTTGCTTACTTGGAAAAAACTATTATAAAGTTCTTGTAAAAAATATTAATTTTTAAAATTAAGTTAAAACTATTTGGTAAAATAAATAATATAAGCTTTAATTTTAGTTAAAATTATCATAAAAATATGCATGTCATCTTCAATCATCTAATAAATCAAAGTGGAACAAATTTGTTTTGAGCTTATATATGATTTTAGATGTTAAAATAAAAATAATTTATACAAAAATGGAATAGCTCTCAATTAATAGTATTAGATTTTTTGTTAATGTAGCAAGCAATTGGACTATGATGGTTTAATTTCTCAAGAAAGAAGAGAAAAGAGAAAATGATGTATTTAATATTAAAATTCTTTTTGGTATAGAAGACGGAGAAAACCTTTTAAGTAGGAGTTGAATGTAGCTTTAAATTTTGTCTTGTTCTCTCTTAATTTTTGTAAGAACAAAAAAATCTAAGATTTTATTATTTTATTGTTAGATCTTTTTTTGAGTAGTTTACGTACAGAGGGAGGTAAAGGAGAAGGAGATTGCAATTTACATTGAATAATGGTGACTTGCAGAGGGAGAGAGAGGAAAGGTAAATCAATTAAGAAATATGGATATTTTTTGAAAAGTTATACATATTTTTTTAAAAAAAAGAAAAAGCTCTTTTGGAGATTTTTTTAAAGTTTTTTTTAATTTTGTTTTTTTAAAAAAATTACTTAGTTTTTTTTAAAAATCCTCTCAAAATCTGAAAAAAACCCAAGCACTAATACTCAATTCAATCAAGGATTCATAACTGTTAGGTGGCGTTTGGTACTTTACAATGCAATGTGATTACAGGTAATGTGATTGC